ATACATAAATTGAAGCTTTTAATGCCTAACTTTTTAAACAAAATATAATGCCTTGTATTAGTTACAAAGCAGAATATTGTAATTTTCTCTACCATATCTCTTAACAAATTACGCTAAACGCACATCCGGTCGATCTCCTCTGTGATTGGACGGGGTCGTCATGAATATTCTATGCACCCGGAAGTAGGGCGGTGCTGCGGTTTAGCTGTCGAGTCACCTCTGTCAAGCGGGATGGAGGAGGAATATGAGCTACTATAATGCTAAATAACGTACCCGAGCATCARAAAGCGGCTCAGTTAGACTGAATCCATCTTTCATTTCGAGTCACGGGAACGTTTTACTGACGCTTTGCCAAAAAATGATGGAAGAAATCGACAGGTTCCAAGTGCCTCCTGTGAACGGAGAGACGCAGCCCTTGGTAAGAGAAAAGACAAAAACACGTCTTATGCAAACCAGTCTTTACTGAATGCAAGTGCTTAAATTCATGTATCGTCGGTGCTTAATCGTCGCGGCGATGTCGCATAATAATAACAACAGTGTGGTTCCGAATAAACGGGTCGTATTTTTGCAGCTCTGGGACAAACTGGATCTTCTTGGGATGGGTGAAGCGACTAACTAAGGATGAAAGGATGGCGACTYTCGCCTTTTATAGATGTGATACTTAAATACACACGTGTACTAAGTAAATGCATTTCAGAGCAGTCATATTACGCACTTTTGACAAAATGGTGAGTCTGGATGCGCTTTTACCCCTGTCAATAGCCGATACTATTTTTACATTTCGTCATTTGGTGACGTGTGGTTTGGGTCGGGGTGGGTGTCAGACCAAATGTTAGAAACASATCTTTGTGCCTGAGCAGCTAGCAAACGCCTAGTTGGAAAAAAAAAAAAAACACTTTAATTGCATCATATGAGCCAAAGATATTTCCAGCATAGTTTATAAATAGCTACATTCAAATGGCACCTTAATGCAGTTATTATTGCTCTGATAAATAATCCTGATATACTGKCCTTACAAATAAAACAGTGTCTAACACATGCTGGTGTTTGCCTCTGGTGTTGAGACACATTACAGTTTTCTAATCTCCATTTTGCTTCCTTAGGTCTGTTTTTGAGGATGTGTAATGATTAAAAAACAACACAGGAAACCTTTAAAAAGTACCAAAAGTGTCTTTCAGAGCCACAGTCACCACGCTCCATTCCTGTGCTTCATTTGATCCTATTTTTCCTCAATTAAATTAAAWTTTAAATGTTAATTTAATTCTAAATATCCAGATTGAGACCAGCATGTCAGTGGTCAGCATCTTCTTTTCATATTCTCAACATTATACTTTCTAAGCAGACTTTTAAAAACACAGATCTAATAGAGCACTTTGGGTCTATTAAGTGTCTTTTGTTTCAGACAGTCCTGTCAGACACGCCTCCACATTGTCTGACCATATCAGAAGCCCAGGTGCTGTGGCACACATGATTGTGCATTTTCATGCTAATATCTTCAGTGGTTGTTGTTCCTGAACTGCATAAATGCACCTTGCATCTGCTAATTTCACACAAATGAAAACTGCTTTGAATAAAACATTTAGAGACGGTCTTAAGGTTACTGTTTATATATGTATAGTTTTGTTAATCAAACATAAAATAACACTTAGGTAGAGAATGATAGTGATTTACTGAAGGCGGCACTATAACTACTGTGCTCCACYCTCAGACTGTAGTGTTGTAATTGTCAAACATATAGAAAGCGTTCAGCTGTTTTAATGGTCACCTGATCTACTGTGCTTCACTGCCATTGGTCAGTTGGTGTCCATAGTGTATAATCCTACCAATCACTTGGTGTTTATGCTGTGTCAGCAGCCTCCAGAAACAGGAAAGCATCTCCAGAGGGAGGACAAACAGCTGAAACTGAAACAAGGAGTGGTTTATTTTATTTTTTTTAATATGGGATCAGGAGCAAGTAAATATGTCTAAAGCTATACTAAAGTCAGGATAAGACTGTTTTTGCTTTGTTATACCCGCTTCTTCATTATTAAGTCATATTTTAAGAAATGCTAGGAAATCCTGACACAAACAGCTTTGCACGGAATCCCGTTTTGTACTACACTGGTTCATCTCGTGTGGAAAAAAAAATCAAAAGGGTTTATTTGAAAGTTGCTGTGATTCTGTAAAAGACAGAGAGAGATATTGTACCTAATGATCTGAGGAAAGGGCCTGTCAGAAAGCAGAAAATGTTGCTGCTTGTTACTTTGGGAATAAGTTACGTGTGCATGATTTCACAACATCTACCAGTGTGTGTGTGTGTGTCATTTTCTCAGTTGGAGCGTTCATAAATTATTCCAGCTAAGGGAACGGTGCATCATCAACAGATGAAAATGAGGCTATTGATGAAAGCGATATTGGTTATTCATACCACATTCTTACAGAAAAGTGAAAAGATGTGAGGAGGTGACTTTTCTGTCACGGTGAGGGATTCATCTCAAAGGTTTCTGCTGGAAATGAAAGTCTAATGACAACACTTTTTGTTACGTAGAATTCATCTGTTTAAGGTTCATTCTTTGGTTTTTCAGTTTCAAAGTAAAATGAGAAAAAAAATAATTTTTTTTTTTTTTTAGATTTTTTTGGTTTTAAGAAGTGCTATGTTATTTTAAATTTTATTTTTTTTTAACGGTTAAAGCAACAACAAGATTTATATTTTGTTAGTTCAACATTTCAGACATTCTGGCGGAATTGGAAATCGTGTCTAGATCATTACATTTCACTTCTCACTCTGGATATGTTTGTATCACATTGGGAGCTGAAATTGCTTTAATACTCTAAGTCAGTGGTTCCCAGACTTTTTGTCTTCTGACCCACAAAATATCCATGGCGAAAACTTGTGACCCCAAATATTACTGGCCTGAGTACATGAACTTCGTTAATAACCCTAAAAACGCAGGCTTTTTGACAATCGAAACAGTTTGTACACAAATATAAATACTTATTTATACTTATTTTGTGTTTTTGTAATAATTATAGGGAAAATATTACATTAGCAATTATTTTATTACCCTTTAAATTGATTTCTGGAGATTATCCAAGGTGCTTCATGACCCATAATTGGGTCCCAAGCCCAACTTTGGGAACCAAAGTGCAGTGGTTCCCAAACTTTTCAGCTTTTGACCCACAAAGACCTGTGCCCCCAACTATTTTTGGATGATAAACATTTGTATCAGGTCAACAAAACATGGGCATAGTAACAATATTTTTTATACTACATGTATCCATTTTAAATACACTAACCTCCYTTGTAACAACTAAGGCAAAAATGTAATTAATTCAGAAAATCTTTTCAGGACCCCACCTTGATGTTTCGGGACCCCACTTTGGGTCCTGACCCCAACTTTGGGAAACACTGCTCTAAGTTATGCAGAACAGGGTTTGAGTTCAGCCATTGCCAAAATCTTTAAAATGATTTTCTGCTTTTAAGCATCCAGCCACTGTAAACCTTCTTTGGCCACTTCTGTCATCTCTGATATCATTACAAATTTTTTAAAAAGTATTTTCTATTTTATCTTTTATAGCTGAAGCAAAAATCGAACATTGTAGATTTTTAATTACCGATAGTCCTGTTTCATTACATTTTTACATTTATGTTTTAAAAACAGACAAAAAAATCAGTCATTTTATTTTTGCAAACCAAAGAACGAACCACACATGAATTTGAATTGCATTGTTTCTGCTTTGTAGCACACTTCACTTATTTTGACTTAGCTTAAGGCTTATTTGTTTAAATTTTTTATTGTATAGTTAAACCTGTTATAGTATTTCATGTTGGTAATGTTTTTTTCTTGTAAAAAACAATTTTTACTTAATTCACCGTACTGTCTGTTGTGCTCATTGTATGTTTATTTGATGGTCTTTTTACAGCATTGCCCTCATTCATGTCCCTCCAGTCAGCCTCCCGTGCTTCTCTCAGGCTGTCACACTAGCTGACATCTCATTCAACAAATTCTCTGCCATCTCTTAAAAAAAAGGTCACATGAGCTAGATGTCCCACTCAAATCAAGTTGTTGAAGCGTTCACACACAGGTTTGTGATCATCAGTGTAAACTCCCATTTGGGTCATTTATCTGTGATGTCCAACATTTGTCTGTAATGTGAAAATCAGGCCTAAAACCGTAGTAGGCAGCCGGCTCCATCTGCAGAAAAATTTACTGTAACAAAAAAAATAAATAAATAAATAAAAATGACAACCAATTCCTTAGTTMTGCTGTGCCATCTGCTTGTGTTCTTGACACTTTCTTTTTAAACGTATTTCATGAAAAGCTTCTTAGATCCCCTGTTTAATACGTGTTTTTTTTTTTCTGCCTTGTGAGACTTGAATAGCTCTGTTGGTTTCTGGAGCAGGTTTAAATTGGTTCAGGGATTTTTTTGCCATGGAGCAAAATCATCCCCAAGCTTTCATAGCCAGTATAAACTGCCTCAGTGTTTGATGTTTAATTGTTTTAAGTGTCCATAAATCACAGGTTTGCTTTAGTTCTTGAACTCCAAATGGCTGGCAGTCTGCAGCCATGTGACTTGTGAGGGTCTTCAACAAGGGGAGGCCTGTTGGATCATCATAATGCGGGGCTCTGTGAGGAAAGCAGGCCAAGCACGGCCCAGCTCCCTTTTCTCAGTCTGGGGAAACCGTGGCTCCAACAGCAACCCCCTCTGTTTTCACACGGCCGCCTCCCAACAGCATCACCGCTCGCACGCTGACGAAAGAGACCGAGCTGCTAGCCCAGGCTAAACACTCGAGTCTATTGTTGCTACAACCAGAGCAGCTGCAGTGTTTAGAGTCGTCTTGTTTGAGTGTCGAACACAAACTGGTTCCACAGCAAGCTGTTGGTCTTGGCTGTCCTGGARGGGTTGAAATCCAGATCTCAGTTGTGAGTTGAATGCTTCCTCTGATCCAGGGTGTTTTGGTACCACTTCACAATAAGGACCCTTTATAGGTTGTTCATGTACTTTATCAAGCATTAACAGTTGTAAAACATTGTCCAAACAATGAAGATTCATTATTTGGCAAAATTAAGCCCTTCTGCTTTTAATTTTTTTATTAAGAACCATCAACATTCGTCTGGTGCAAAGTTGACCCAGGATAAAAGTTTACAATAAAACTAAATGGCAACAATAAAACTCAAAACTCAAAAGCTTAGAAATGTTTAGGGTTTGAGTTGTTTTTGTTTGWTGGCAAAACTTTATTATTTTGGCTCTTTTCTGAGTAGTTGTTAGGATGTTTTCTTTGATTCCCCTGAGATTAGGCTCGCTTCAGGTAAGATACTGACCGCTCATAACTACTCACCAAATCTGACTTTGAAAAATACTTTCTATTACTATGTATAAGAGTATTAAAATGGTTATAAATGCCAGTTATGTTAGTATTTTTGTATTATTACACATGATCAWCACTATAGAACACAAAGTTCCATAAAAGCAGACTGAAGTACCATCACAGGTTACAGTAGGTGTCACTGTTCACACACAGCTAAAGTTCTGCATTGTTTGACTCTTGTTGCAGGACCCTGCAGCGTCCTCCACTTTAGAGGCACAACCTGACACTAAAGGAGAGAGCGTGGCCATGAACTACAAGCCCCCTCCACTGCAGGTCCAAATAGGTATCATCAACAACTGCAAATGAACACAACACAATATTTTTGTATCAACTTGCTGTCATTTGTCAGTTTGCAAAGACTGGAAGGCATGGAAGAAACCAGCTCGTTGCTGTGTGCATGTTGACATTATAATTGTGTGCAAGTTTGCTTTAAAACACTGAAGATTATCGAAGGTGGAGAGAATAAGTGGTGTTCTCTGATTCTTATCGATTATATTTTAAACTGGTAAATTTATGGCTCATAGGGTTTAGACCAAGGATGAGCAACTATTTGTCCCAGAGGGCCACATATGGATTTGGGACTGTTATGGTTCTTGATTGGAAAAGAGTGTAATGCCCACTCTGTGTCGGGGGGTGGGGGGTGGTCTCTTCCTCCAGTGGAGTTTAAGTATTTGGGTGTCTTGTTTGCGAGTGATGGTAGGATGGAGCAAGAGATGGATCGATGGATTGGGCCTCGTCCTCAGTAATGAGGGCGTTGTTTCAGTCGGTTGTGGTGAAGAAAGAGCTGAGTCAAAAGGAAAAGCTATCAATTTACTGATCTTTCTACGATCCAACCCTCACCTGTGGTCATGAGGTTTAGATTAGGGGTTTTCCAAAAAAAATTGATTCACATCAGAATCGTGATTCTCATTTACAAAGATTCAGAATTAATTTAAAATGTCACAAAATCAGTAATAATAAAAAAATAATAAAGCAAATCCAATGGCTGTTAGCCTCCATGTTGTAACTACGTGGGACGTCCTGATGTCACCACACCACTGGTTTTGGTGCGTATGCATACGCAGAAAGCAACAAAACAAGAAGAAACTACAAAACTGGAGGAAAGAGAGATTTAACTGGGCCCATCGTCATTGAATGCAAAGATTTGAGCTCATTTTGCTGTACTGAATGAGTCTGAGTTTGACATGAGCTAGTGCGAGGTTCGCAAAATGAAGATGAAGCACTTTGGGAACACAACAAATGGGCTCACATTATCAGTTTTGAATGAAAAATCGATTTTGAGTCTAATCGGGGCCCCAAAAATCAGAATCGGATTGAATCATGAGAGAGTAAAATGTTTCCACCCCTAGTTTAGATCATGACAAAGAATGAAATCCAGGATARAAGTGGCCYAAATGAGCTTCCRTRGTAGGGTGGCTGGACTCAGTCTTAGAGATAGGGTGAGGAGCTCCGTCATCTGAGTGGAGCTCCAAGTAGAGCCGCTGCTCCTCCACATCAAAAGGAGTCAATTGAGGTGGTTCATCTTATTAGGATGCCTCCTGGACGCCTCTTTTAGAGGTGTTCTGGGCATGTCCCACTGGTAGATGGCCCCGGAGAAGACTCAGGACTTGCTGGAGGGATTATGTATCCTCTCTAGCCTGGAAACGTCTTGGTGCTATGGGGAGAGGGATGGCTTCTCRCCTAGACCATTTTCTCCACGACCCGACTACTGATGAGTGTGAGAAGATGGAAGATGAGCAAATGTATGGATCAARAGGCTAAACTATTTTCTTCCAAATATAAGAAGTGCAATTGACTGTYAATATAATTGTCATTATGTTAAAAGTTGACATGGTAACTGGTCAATAGAAATCTGGTACAGTAAGATGGAGAATATAAACTTTATATAAGTGATGTAATAAAACTGTTTACAAAAGCCTTTATTGGAAATAAGTGTTACACATTTACACATATTTTTTTTTCTGTTTCATTGAAAGAAATCATATTGTTGAGTTTGTCGTGTTTCATACCTGAGGTGAAATGACATTCAGCTGCAGGTGATTGTCAATGGGAGAGGATCTGTATCCTGATTTGTAGCTTTCTCATGAGGAAACTTCTCCTCTGTTCTTTTCTCACGACACAACTGCAGCTGAGTTCATCACTTTTTTCTTTCTTTTTTTTTTATTTATTTTTTTTTTACAAAAAGCAGCTTACAGTAGGTTTTTTTTGCAGTTTTGTCAGACATCATAAAACTAGCCCTGACTGCTTAAGTCCTCAATGTGTAAATCTTGGCAGAAAGGCCCATTGCTTTGTTCACTGCTCTATATTTCTGTGTGTTTTGTCTGATGATGGGGATTGAATTTACAATCCTTAAAAGCAACGCTCTGCTCTCGACAAACAGTAAGTCAACACAGAAGTCCATATCTTCATAAAAACTCTACATTTTGCATCAGTCTTTGTTTTTTAATATTTTGACACAACAGTAACTCATATCATTTACAAACTCCTTCTACAAGTGGATAGACCTACTGCTAGCACACAGAAAAGTCTACTGATTTCAACATCCACTTGCCTTCAAAATAAAAGCACTGCAAAAGCCAGTTTTAAAATAAAACCTATGATTTTGCACAATTWATTATTGATTTCTGATTTTTAGATTTAGTTTGTGTACTTCTTACTCTGTATTTGGAAAATAGGGTTTTGACAAGATAAGCTGACAAAATTCAGTTTAATGTCTGTGATTTATATTTATAAAAAGTAAATCCCAAATTAGACTTCCAATTATAGGAAATGTGTTTAGTCGAGTCCATGTATTTACTGATGACCTCACATCCTGTGTTGCCAGAGAAACAGAGGGACCTTGCCAGGAAGGCCTCGGTGAAGAATGGCACCGTGGGAAGTCCTGTCAATCAACAACCCAAAAAGAATGCCAGGACAAGGTAGCACCTTCCTCCGRGTCTGTGCTTCTCTCTTATTTGATCAGTTCAGACCCAAATGTTTCTCTTTGTGTTCATTTGCACCAGAAGCAATATGTTTTTGCACCATTCACTGCTKTAGTTGCAACCCACTGAAATGCAAAGCAGGACAACAGGGTGTGCTGCTTTTTAATGGCACGTATTGCTTCTACCCTGCCCGAGACGTTGTTGGATTTCTTAATCTTTCAACTGAACGCAATCAGGAAATAACGAGGCTTTCCTACAGAGGAAAAAAAAAGTTTTGAATGCTTATAGGAGTCAAAACCACTGAGCGTGAGCCCTTCACAGCTCGCAGCATTGACAAGTGTTTTATGTGTTTAATCCCTCTCCCCGGTGGATTAATGGAAATATAAGACAGGCTGTCCGTGGATCTGAACCCTGAATCTCTGAGACTGAAAGCTAATTTAGCACTTTTTATAATTTCACTTTGATAAAATAAATTTAATCCCCCCCCCACTTTTTTTTTTAAAGTGCTACACTTTTCTTACATCGTTTCCAGTTGTGACAGTTGTTGGTCACAAATTTTCAACAACAACAAAAAAATGTTCCTTTTTATAGGTTGGTGGTGCCAAACAAAGGCTACTCCTCTTTAGACCAGAGCCCAGATGAGAAACCCCTGGTAGCACTGGACACTGACAGGTAAGCAAAGAACAAAACATTAACACCACATCTATTAAATATCAGATAACACCGATAAAGACATAAACATTTAAGGAATAATGAGCAGTAACCCGAGGGGGAGATTTGCTCTGTTTTGCAGACCTCGCTCTGCTTTTTTTGGAACATTTATCTCTTGAATGACTTGACAGTGTTTAGAAGCGATCCTAAAAAGGGGGCAAAGCCTCTCCCAAGGCTCAGGATTAGAGCACAGCAGGGTGAGGATTTAGACAGCCAAAAGAGGCTCAGAAAGAGCACCCACTCCCCCCACTGTGTACCAGCAGGTCTGTATTTTGAACAGATGAGCCTCAGCGTCTGTGGCCCCAGCTCTTTGCTACATGGGGTGAACCCTCTCATTTAAAAGATGTGCATTAGCCCAAAAGGGCTTACGTCATACTCTCACTGAAACATAACACCTACTTGTTTATTGTTCATATCCGTGTGCATAGTCTTTGCATAATGTGTTCCTGTTCTTCTGAACGTTGCAAGACATGCAGAATATTGATTTTCTTTTTGCATTGTCATGAAGATACTCCACAAAGATTATATAAAAGGCCCATCATCATCAGTTTTGTTTCTTAATGTCTGAATAGTTGAATGAGTGGAACTCTTCATTAAAAAAAGAGGATAAAAAATAACCTTTCATCCCAGCACTTTTTTTGAGAAGGTAGCAGATTACTCGTTTTCCTCACCTTTTTCTTCACAAATGCAAATAAAACGAGTTTTATCTGATGCTAAATGTGCATAACAAACAGTGCTAATTTCTGAAAATCTGGCTCTTGAATTTAGCAAAACAGCCAGAGCAGTGAGTGTAAATTAGGATTTGTCATTATTAAGAATCCAATTAAGATTCCTTGCACGTTGCCAGAAAACTAAAAAATATTGAACAAAATTTGCTCTTATTTGCCGTTACCTCCGAAGATTTGTGAATCCATGTATTTCTCTTTTACTATTATGGTAATACAGTATCTTATTTGTGGTATGCATTTTTTGCTTTTTCCGTTTCAGTATAAAATCGTAAAAAGAAAGCAATCTTTTATTTTTTTATGTAAAAAATGTTATAGGGTTTCCCATAGTGTTTTATTACGTTGGAGGGGCGCCAGGCTTTACATGCCTCCCCGCCAGGCTAACGTTCATTTACTTAGAGTGGATATATCGCCCACAGAGCATGTGCTAAAAATAGCACTCATCATCATTGTGCAGCGGAACTAAAAACTATTTTAATACCCCTCAGCATGCAAAAAATAAAACAAAATTAATAGTCATCTGTACACTCTAGAGTCTAACAAAACGTTCAAAAATGGTGAGAGGAGGTGCTGAAACAGCTGCAATCTCTATGTAAAATAAAACTAATTAACAATCCAAATTGCTAGATTTTTGCTTCAGTTACAGTATCTAAATCCAAAATAGAATATACAGTTGTCGTTTTAATATATTGCGATACTGGAAATGACGGAAGTTGAGTTTCTAGTGGCTGGACGACTGCTTAAAAACTGAAACCACTGGAATAATAAAGTAAATTTGTTCATGGTAAGAAAAAAAAAAAACATGGTGAGAAGTGAAAACATCTGGTTCCGCCAGAAGGTCCCAAATGGTGCGACTTTGCTTTAACTAATAAAAAAAGTAGCCTTTTTTATTCTTGCGTCATTTTTTTACAAATTTAATTCTACAAAAAAGCACCAAACTATTAGTTTTTTCTCATTTAATTTCAAAAACCAGAGAATGAAACAGGTAAACAGGTAACATGTAAACAGGTTTTATTTGGTCCTTTTTTTATTAGTAAAATAATCCCATCAAATTTCATCCTGAACAATGGAGAAAAGACTCTTTATTTGCTGCTTTATTCATTCACAWGCCATGAGTCGTTTGTGCTGCTGTTCCATCATCCTCATTCTTTGGGTCTAACCTGAGGTGTCGCCTGTCTTTCAGTGATGATGACTTTGACATGTCCAGATACTCTTCATCAGGATACTCCTCAGCCGAGGTGAGATGTCTGAGGGACCAGGTATCTATGCACATCTTATATTGTTTCACAGCATCATCTGGCCAAACATCACCACCTTTGTCACGTCAGGTCAATGTGCACTGATTCAGCTTCCACATCCTGGCCCCTGATAGTGACCCTTCTCCATATTTTCATCCCTGTAGAATCCTCTTCATTTCTTTAGGGAGCACATGCTCTGTTCTTTGGCCTCTCATTACCATCAACAACCTCACTGTGTGTTGTGAAAGTTTCTTAGTTTGAGCCAACTTTTTTTTGTAGCTTTTCTACTATTCTGGTAATATCTTATTTTTTTATTTATATTTGTTGTGGCTTTTGCAGCAAATCAATCAGGACCTGAACATCCAGCTCCTGAAGGACGGGTACCGGCTCGATGAGATCCCAGATGACGAGGACCTGGATCTGATCCCCCCTAAYGCAGTGACCTCCACCTGCATGTGCTGCCAGGCTGCTCCTTCTACAGCCTGTCAAATCCAGTAGCCAATCCCCCTCCCCTCCCCACCCCACCCGTTCCTCCTTCCTGCCATCTTCACCTAAGGCCAGCTGCCGACCAGAGTGGCATCAAGGAAGAAAAAAACTAACGGCTGGAAAAGACACAAAGGGAAAAAACAAAACAAAACAAAGGTTTCTAAACTGAGAAAACGAGAAACTGAATGTGTGCAGAACCTGTGCATGTTCCTCCTATGGCAGGATCTGTGTGTCTTACTTCAATGTTGGTTCAGCAGGGATTCAAGTCATGGCCAGAAATGTTACCTCTAAAGAAGAAAAAAAAAAGTGCGACTTTTGCGTCTCTTCTGTTTGAATTTGATCTCATTGCTCGTGAAGTCTCTTGTTTACGAGGATCATAAAGGACCGTGCAACGCTCTGGGAGAACAAAAAGGGACGAGAACAAATTGACTATATGACTCGGTGTCATTACTGTGTCAGCAGACGTCTGAGTGGTCTTCTGGTACTTACTCTTGGATTATTTCCGATGGATTCAAGAAGACACGAAGTTCAGTAGTTGCCATTTTACGTCCTCTTTTCKCGTTCTTTGATCTCGTCTGCTTTGTCTTCCTTTGTGTGTGCATCTAATCACGCCCAGGAAAACACTGACAAACTGTCAGATTGCTTATAAAACACTATAGCAGCCCTTACACTCCACACTAAAGTAGTAACTGCTCCATTTTACTGAGACTGTACCACTGAAACCTGTTTTACATTTAGTTAAAAGATGCATGTTGCCTGTTAACACTGTGTCCCGGTGACAAACGTGCAGATATTTTAGTAGGTACTACTGAGCCACAGCCAAATCTTTGGGTTCAAGAACCACCGTGTGCTTTGTGAAAACAGAAGTGGGTCATTTTAAGTACACCTTATAGGAAAACACATTCTAATGAGTAATATTTGTTTGTCCGTAATGCAGCAGCCTTTGCCGCTGAAGGCTACAGGAAGGAAGGAACAAAAAGAAAGAACTGTAGAAATATACAGTTTTGGTTGTCAAATGAAGAATGTGGATAGACAGATGCCAAACAGTTTGGATGAGTTTTTTGAAGTAATAATGCCATTTCCTACGGAATTCAAAACTTTTCTTTTTTTTACACTTTTGTTCCATCAGATTACAAATGTGCACAAACCTCCTGAGTTACAGCATGAGCCATTTGTCTAATATATATATATATGTACAAAAAAAGTGTAAGTGTAGCACCTTCACCTGTTATCAGAGGCTTTTAACAGTTTTTGTTTCTTTTAGCATAAGCTTTGTAATAGTGCATTGTTAGTTTTTATGTTTAAATCCCTTTTACTAATACAGTGGAAGGCATAAGCTTTGCTTTATTTTATTTTATTTTTCTTGGCAGACAGATTCAACACTACTTTGAAAAGAGGTATAGAAAATAATGTGAGGCTGGCTCTCAAAATACAACAAGATTAGGTTTCCAAATTTTATCAGCTCCTTGGAATGTCATGTTGATAATTATTCCCTCCTTAATGATTTGACTAAGCTCCAAGCCTGCAGAAAAAGGCAMCTGATAAAGTGGAATATGTTTTCATTGTAATATTAATTTAAATTTTACATTTTTCTTGTGCAATGCAACCGAAACACTCCTGGTTTAACGGTTTTCACACAACAAATGAGATATCAGTAACTCACCAAATCAAGATAGAAATCGTGGTACACAATGAAACAGTGCTGTATGATATGTAGAAAAACAGAGAAAATGCTTAAAGTGGCAAATATCTGCCTTTAGTAAATATCTTCCTTGTTGTAGATRGCTCTTTGATAACATCAAATTGGAGAAAAAGTTCTAATCTGACCAGATTMGTGAGTTAATTATCATTGGGACCAAGACCAAAGTGGATTTCTAGTCATTATTTTTTTAAATTATGGCTCATGCAAACTTTTTTTAAATTTTTATTTATTTTTTGCATTATTTTCACTTTACACAGTTGTATAATGTAAATAGTGGCAGCAGTCTGGGATGGARTTCCTGCAAAAATAAGAGTTGCGCTGGGCTAACAGTTTTATTTCAGTCTAATGGCTGTGCAAAGGTTTATCACACGAACCACCWTGAAATCTCTGAGATTGGAGTAATCCAACTTTGTCTCGGTCCCATTAAGCTAGCTGTTAGCTCATCAGTCCAGTCTGATTCATACAGTTCTTTCTCCAATCTGAAGTTCAAAGAGGTTTCTACAGCAGTAAAAGAGAATCGTTCATATTTTCTTCCCCACAATCRCAATTCTATCACTTAAAGTCTGCRTATTTTTCTCAGACTTTCATTGTTTAAGAAAATCTGACAGAATTTCCGAGACACTGCAAGTGTTTTATGTCGAAGACACGACGCGTCCCTGCAGCACTTTGTGCACGCTCAAAAATAATTTTGTAGAAGGGTTGCAGCGTTATGTAGTTAGTAAAATAAAGTGCACAATAGAACCCTCTTAGCACAGTTAGCATTTTTACACTACTGCAGCTGCTAGCAGGGATGATTGTTGGACTGGTAGCTGTGCACAGAGTTTTATTTGGAGAGAAGTAGATTCTTTGACTGTTGCTGCATTTTTCCTTCCATCAACATCACAGCACTGGATCTGTCTACTGAGTGCAATACTCGCAGCTGATGTGTCAATTGAGGCGTAGCTTCACTAACTTATTGAGTTTAGGATGATTTGTTGTAACAGAAATTATTTATATGCAGTTGTTTTTTTATTTTTACTTGTTTAGGTGTGAGAAATACAAGCAGACACTTTCCATTTGTCAAAAGCTTGTCATGACGATTGTGAACTGGTTCCATTTAGATTTTAACAGTGTTACAGTTCTGTGTATAGTGCAACATATCAAAAAATAAATACTAGGTATTGCAAGTTTTAGACTGCTGTCTTTTTTTRCCCCCTAGTTCTAAACACCCCAATCAGTTATATTTCTGTATGACTTCTTCAGACTCCTTCATCCCAGCAGCAGATGACCCAAACAGCTCCTGGATGACGTGCTTTGTTGGTGAATTTTAGATGGATAAATGAGAAATAGTGAGTGTGAGGGGCTGGAGGGGTGGAGCACTTGTGATTAGCCTGGAGTTGATCCTTTGGGAGCAGATGGTGAAGGGTGGCTTACCTAGATGCCCTGGATCCAAGTAGTTAGCTGTAGGTGTCCACGTTGCAWAAAGCAACACTGAATCGAAACAAGTCTGAGGCTCATGCACCATAACMCAGGTGAGCAACGTGTTCATATGTTATGCAGCTAAAACAGTTGTAACTGCAGCGAAGCCGCATTTGAGGTTTTTTTTTATTCATAAGTTAGCTTGGCCTGATGTGAAACGTTAACACTGACCTGCCTCTGACAGACGGAGATCCGAAGCAGGCGTGATGTTGCTGAGAAGTTCTGCTGTTCTGCTGCTGCTCTGTGTGCAGCGTGTGCACGGATCTGCTCTTCCTGCAGTGTCCTCCTACGAGTTCACTGCCTACAGGATGCAACAGTACAACTTGGGACACCAGAAGTATGGTGAGTACTTTGATTTGATTAACAGACACTTATTTTCAAAAGAATGTATGCAACAGCTTGGGCACCTTTGCCTGCTATTTTTTTTAATCCATCCATCCATTTTCCTTACCCTCATCTTCCCGTTTGGGTCACAGGGATCTCTGGTGCCCATATCCAGCAGGCACTGTGTGAGGGGCAGGGTACACCCTGAACAAGTCCATCACAGGGCCACATAGAGACGAATGAGACAAACATCCATTCATGCCCTCGCTCACACCTAAAGGCTGTTTAGTTAATGTTTTTGGTCTGTGGGAGGTAACCGGAGTGCCGGGAGAAAACCCACACTTGCACGGAGAGAACATGCAAACTCTACACAGAAAGGTCCCGGGCCGGGATTTGATCTGACAATGATCTTGCTGAGAGGCAATAGCTCTACCAACTGAGTATATATTTTTTATAGCCAATAACAACCTGTAAAAAGACATCCAAAAAAATAWTTTTTTTCTTTTTTCCCTTAGAGATTATACAAAAAACAAAAACCCAAATA